TTCACTACCTTTCTGTCTGTTGACTCTTAATTTTTTGAAATTTTAATGAGACCTTTTTGAGACTGTTTGTGATTTTTCATAAACTTATATAACGGATGTAGAAGACAACTGTCACGAGATGATATCACTTCTGTACAATCGCTTTACAACTGGCATGATTCACAGTAATAAAATAAAATGTATAGCAACCACTCAGTTATATGAAACAAAAGTACATGCTAAAGATCAATCATATTCAAGTGGGTTAAGTTGTCCGCTGTGGGACAAGTTCGAAATTTACTGTTTTTTACGACACAATGATCTCAAGACTGTCTGCCCGTCATGATTGAATGATCTCAAGTTCAAGTGTTTCTAACCCAAAATGCTTCCATAGTAGAAGTTTTATCTGTAGTTTTCACCATAAATTGGAATGAAAAAGTGTCAATTTATTGGAAGCAATTTTCAGTTAAGATACAGAAATCATTCAGTGTTTTCCTTTCGGGCTACACTGATAGGTCTGGTAGGTGATGTTGTTGAACGTTGTCATCTATGTGTGTCCGGTCCACCTCCACTATATACAGTCTATTTTATGAAGATACTCATCATTGTCTGCTTGTCTAAATTTATCAGAACTTCCTCATTATTTTTCTTATTACTACTGCATTAATCCTCAATTGTTGTTCGTTGAATTCCAGTTGCGAACAGTCCTTTCTTATGTCAGTATAACTAGAAAACCGATTTGATGGGTTTTTCGAAAGAAAATACTTCCCTTCACTCCAATTATCTTTCTGTATTCATGTGTAATCGGCCTAAGAGTTTGTTTTACGAACTATGGTTTCAGACAGCTTGACTGTTATTATTATGATTCCATTTGGTCAGAGTGTAACATGGCTCTTCAAGTACACACCTCTATGCCATCCTGTACTCTGCAGTCCTGTGTTGATTGAAGTCTACAGCCTGTTGGATAATCCCTCGGTGACGCGTGCATCAACTTTATGATCTAACAGGAATATTGTCGGTTAAGTATCTTCATCACCCCTGTCTTTTTCATGCTGAAGTTAAATATACATAATTCTTATGAAATATTTTACGAACAACTGTCACCTGATATTTTGCTCAGTGCCGTTTTATCTTATTTTGGATTGTCGAATAGATGACCCCCATCCTCTTCAGTGAGTGATGGTGTTCCCACTGTGACCAGCAGCCGTCAATTCACTCTTCACTTATTACCCGATTATGACAATTATCAGCCATCCAGATAGTTATATCAATTTCAATCATCAAAATGTAATCATCATCTATCTGTTTATGCATCTATCCATGTGTAGGACGAACAGCCAACCAACCTTAATTCCTGAACAACTCGACCATTATTGCAGCATAACCAGCATTCATGGTAGCACTTCAATGTTAGATGAATATTCAACTTTGTTTTTCCGTCAATAATCCCAAAATACATACCTGAATAAGTGACCTATTAATAAACCGTTACAAGAAATCTCTGGTTTTCTATGTTGTGAAAAAATGAGCAAAGCGCATATTCACCTGAAAGCATAAGTACATTTGGATTCGGAATAAATGGTTAATCTGATCAGTAAGATCACCTCATCGATAAATTGACATTGGAAAACTTTTGGTGTGGTTGTGTTCTCTGAGCTGGATGGTTTGGTTGCGAAGCTTTCATTGCTCTACTGAGCAACATCTTCAGCGCATACTTCGATGTGAAGTGAGCTTTTAGAATTCCCTATGAGTTTATTAGTCATCTCTTCTAGTAACTCTGAACGTGACTGGTTGCTTTCGTGTGACATTTCACCCCCTAGTTTGCTTGTCTCGGTGCTGGCTGCTTCTTTGGTCTGAATGTCGTTAGTCATTCCTTCTGCTAATCTTGAACGTGATTGGTTGTTTTTGTGTGACTTCTCACTTTCTAGTTCACTTGTTTTGGTGTTGACTGTTTCCTTGACCTGAAGTTTGACTTTGTTTTTGTGTGAATTTCTTCGTATGGATTGGTATATTTTGTCAATCTCTATGTGTCTATTGATTGCTGATTCATTTAAATACCAGGCCTCTAGGAATTCTCTGGCATTTTTGCAGTTCCCTTTGTCTAAGATTTGAACATTGTCCCAGTCGAATTGGTGCCCGTGGCTGTCTGCATGTAGTGATATGAGGGAGTGTATGTCGTGTCTTTTGACAGCTAGTTTGTGTTCGTGAATGCGAAGACGAAGAGGGCGTCCACTTTGACCAATGTAATGTTTGTCGCAGTCGTTGCAACTTATCTTGTAGATGACGTTAG